TTCTCATCGTACGGCTCACCAAATAACACATTTTCTCTCAGAGTACCAGAGAAAACCCAAGCCGTTTGGGAAACGTAAGCTATTGTTCCAGAGCAGACTATGTTACCGCGCGATTGGATTACCTCGCCTGCGATCGCCGCCAGAAGTGTCGACTTTCCACTGCCAACCTGACCTGTAATGACCGTCAGACTTTTCTCAGAAGCCTCAAAACTGACTTCATGAAGGAGATGCTTGCTATCTCTACCGTTCAGCTTACACGTGAGATTAAAAACTGAGAAATCAGTCTTACTCTGAAATTCGTATTGCTTGACATCTTTATGCAGTCCATGTGTTACAGAACAAGGAGGAACGGCATCCATCGTTACAGGTTCTCTTACCGACACCTTTGGGTACGCTTTTGGGCTTTTGAGAATATGCTCTTGGCCAAGAGATGTTTGGCTGTATTCCAATGGATCCAGAGGCATATTGTCTAAGAGAAGGAAGGTCTGAATCCTTTTAAGCGACACAAATATCTCAAAAACTGAGGCTAGAACGACAGATACTGATGAGCGAAGAACACTCATAAATGCTAGTACCGTGAAGGCTGTTGGAGGCGAGATAGCATGGCCGGTGAGAATGAGGGCAAAAATTGCGAAGAAGGTTGCTGTGGGACCAGAGATGAATGAGAAACACTCTATGATCGATAACAAGACGCTCTTTTTAAGAATAATCCAAACTTCACTCCTATAAGGAAAAACAAAAAGTAGTGTAATATTACATTGGCTACATCAGTTAGACCGGAGTTGGCTGATGGGGCAAGTGTACCAAACGCTTTTTAATAATAACTAACTGATCAGGAAAAATAAATTTTTTCGAAAAATTTGCCGTTGAGCACTTCTGTTTAATTGCACGGCCATCAAACAGCGCATTAAACCAAACAACTAACTACATCTTTAGACCAAATGAATAGGGAAAGTAATAAAAAATAATCACAATACCAAATAACAGTAAATTTTGAATTCAACGTATTCCACGATGCCTTCATGAACTGCTTAAAAGCTCACAGATCCCGCTCCATCCCCCTTATCAGTCTTGAAGCCTCGTGTTGAGGTTAGACGGTCAACGTTGCCAATAAAAAGAGGGCGAGGAGGAGGGGTGGGTGTGTAGTCATGTCATATCTCTTCTCTGCCTCTTACCTTCTCACTTCTTGCACTTTTTCTCTGTAGTTCTTCTCCCACGCGTGCGCTTTAACAGCACGGATCCCAGACACAAGCTCGTTCATGAGTGAAATACGTCGGTCCGTTTCCTCAGCGGTCTGTAGACGCAACTGAGCACAAAGGCCTGAGATAACCATGATGCAAGGGATCACCGTCAGTAGAAACAAAATGCCTATTATTGTCTGCCAACCGATGAAGTACAACAGCAAGATTACAACAGTTACAAACTCGAAAACTGGCAATAACGCGGTACATATCCATCTGGGGGCCAGTTCCATTCTCTGAACGTCATTTGATATCAGGTCAATAACATTCCCTGTTGTTGTTTCCAGAAGGCGTTGTTGACTGATCAGGGGAATCTGAAGACAAATTAAAACCGTCATCATGAATATAAGATCAGAAAGAGAATTTTTGGTACATATCTTGCAGTTTACATGTGTTTTTTTGTTTTTTTTGGAAGGTGGCAAATTTTATAAGCAAGTTTGATTTTTCTATGAGATAAATGAACGTAAGGTAGTTCTGAGTATCATGGGCTATGGTTTATTGTAGCAGCAACCTTCAAGATGCATTTTCTTTCCATAGTTCAGGTCAGCGAAATTTAGCTCTCAACCGTACCTATTAATAACCAGAGGCGATCTTTATGCCAAACTCAATAAGCAGTTTAAATAGTTTGCTAGATGCTCTGAAACTGAATTCCCTTAACCTTTCTTTGCGCGCGTACGTGAGGATATATTACAACTAAAGTATGTTTACGTATACAAAGCGTAAATCATTTTCAAAGTATTCCAGGATTGTAAAGTGGCGAATTCTTTAGCAGTGCTAATAAAATTCAGTTGGTATAGGTATATATATGTTTATTTTTTTATGGAAAGAACATTAGCTACAGTCAAAGAGGTCAAGCCTGTAGAAAAACTCTTCCATTCCAAATCCGGGAAGCCATATAAGCGCATGTCCCGTGCTCTATCATATATCCATGCACCTCTCCAAGGCTATGTTCACACTTGATGCCCGAACACAGTGATTGAGTACGATTCTCTCTGGGTAATAACGTCAACACACCTTTTTTCCAAGTACTCACACCAGTATTTGAGTGCAGTGCCCGTGGGCGAGTACAAGGTACTTGTGTATTTGGAATACCCGATGTCTGAACGCAACACTATTTTGTGCCGGGCCAAGACCAACCTCGTTTCCAGGGACCGTTCCCAGTGACCTCGTTCTCAGACCGTCTCTCCTCTCTCGCTTCGGGAGGGCGGGAATATGAGAGACCCTGGGAACGAAGTTGGACTAAGGCACCAGTGCTAGGGCTCCAAGTTTGAACACAGCCTGTCTCGTAACAAGAATAAAGAAATTTCCTGTAAAATTCTGTTAGAGAAAGCCACGAATATTAATAACGTGGCTCCAGTCGTATTACTCATTTCTTACCTTGAGATAAACAATCCCCTTAATAGCACTACTGAGTCGCATACCAAGTAAGTCACAGCTGTAAGCAGAGTAATGAGTACAGGCTGACGTCAATCCACTGAGTGTTAAGAAGACGCAGCACGTGTATGCTAAGGAGGGGCTCTTCTCAGCGGAGTCTAACAAGTGAAGAAGGACACCTAGCACAAGTGGCTGTGAAACACGGAACATGGATTCCAGGAGCCAAAAACACATAGGCAAACAGATGTCGTGGAAGGACACTGTTTTCAAAACGCATTTCCAAAGTTTGGGTTGTCTTCCCTCAGTCATGTTGCATTCTTGTACATGGTTGTTCCATTCCTTCTGAAGTCGCTCTGTTAGGTCACGTGTCCTGTCTTGCTCGTGAAGCGGCAGGAAATCCGATTGCCTCAAAGGTCGCTTACTTCCAATTTTAAAGACACTATTCATCCACCAGAAGGAAAGAAGAGAGAGCAAACTGGCCGAAGTTGTAGGATGAGAGGATTCTGTTCCATCCTCTTCATTGCCAGTGGTTATCTTCTCGTAACCCTGGTTTGACATCCTGTTCGAAAAATCATCGCAATCCATTACTCATATATATAGTTCGAATCACTTATTTTGTCGCCTCTCATCATTTCACCTTTAAAAAACAAAATCTTGTGCCACACTGATGAAAATGATTTCCAAGGAATTTTTAAAGGTGCGCATAGAATTGTATGGATTACCCGAGTTGTTAATAAAATGACAATCTAATTTTTGTTAACGTTTGTGAAACAAAATTGTGATTTAAGCAAACCAAACCAGCACTCTTCTTAAGATGAACGGCGATTTGATTTTGAATTCTACGGTACAATTTTCAAAGTCGGCTACGGTGAACCTGGAAAATTGTTTACGACGATCTTGGAACGTTAGAAGACCTCTTAGAGTCACGGTATTCAAGAAAATGACTGTCATTTCTGGATCAGTTTTACGGATATTTTGTATTTTGAGCGATCGTAGAAAAATGTTATGTCCTCGAGGGGAGTTGTACGAAGCGTCTCGTTCCTTATTAAGGGTGAACTACGGAGAGTGAATTTCCAGAGACAGAAGCCTATTATTTAGCTCGGCTTATTAACCCAGCAGGAGGTCTGTATGGGAGAATCTTGACCGAGGTCGTGAGTGCAGACCGAACGCACTGATGTCTGTACTCACAACCGAGGTCAAGATTCTCCCATACAGACTGACTAAGCTCGGTTAATAAGACGTTTATTATATGGCTACAAGAAAAAAAATAATTCGTTTAATGTAGCTGGTTTGTACTAACAGACATTTTCCTTGTGAACGGCGATGAGCTGAATTTAATTCTGCCAAAGTTTGCTCGTCCTCTTTACTCTTTTTTCCCATCAGGCTTTTTGGCACTTCCATAAATAGATATTGTTAAAAGAAAATAATCAATATTTTTGCATTTTAGTTTGCACCTTTTTCACTGCAAAACATTACCAGTCTAAATGCCGGTCTACATGGGAAAATCTAGACCGCTTTCAATTTCGATTTCAGCCAATCAATTCGTGAATTCGGTACCCAGTACCCAGTACCCAGTACCTAGTCCTTGTGAGGCACAGCCATATAAAAAAAGGCATACGAGGAAACGCAAATTATCCCTGGTGTACTGACTCGAAAATTTGTATTAGCAAAAGACCTTTTATCCCGGTGGACCTTCTAGTGTCAATCTTTGCCTCACATGCCCCGACACGGGCTGGATCTCTAAATGTTCAACTGATTTGAATTGGGCGTGGAATTGAATTTTGTGATTGCTGACCGTGACCGAAAAAAAAAAAAACTCGTGGAAAAAAATATAATGTAGATACTGATGTGTCGTTGGTATATCTAGTTCTTAAAATTAGAGTGGTTTTACTTAACCCGTGAAATAGATAGTGGAATTGTACACACCACAACTTTGTATTAGTTAATTCCTACTATCCCCTTATAGTTAGTAATTCTTTTGTTTTCTAGTCTTTGTTTTTGTATACCATGCACTAATACTAATTAGCAGAATATATTACACACTGACAAGTAGTTTCTGTTTCACGGGTTAAGTAAAACCACTCTAATACTAGAGTGTTATAAATATCATGGAAGGTCATGGAACAGTAATGGATGGCCTACGCTTCTTAATTTGTAGGATTTCAGAATAATACTACTCAGTGCTTTTTCTTAGGCAAGGATATTCTTCTAGAAAACTTTTAGGTATATCAGTAATATTGTTTACCTTCCGAAAACATATATAGCTCGGCGTCTAACACACAAATAGTCTTTAGTTTGCGGTCTGTAGCATAGTTAAGGCAAGTTTCTTGTTGTCGTTTTTTTAAATAAGTACTCTCTTGTGAAAATTCGACCGATTATACAGGCTTGTTTAACTGGGCGGTCATAAGAACCCCGTGGAACGAAGTAGAATTTGTAGGCAGGAATCATAGGCTGCTGTTGTGGGTTAATAAAAAGACAATGACAATACGATTTTTTGGCACCACGCCGTTAGGTTGAATCCAATATAATGAAGCGTTATTGGCAATTTTATGCAAAGAAACGCAATACTGCAGGGAAGAACCTTAAGATATTTTTTTACCTGGTTTATTGTCCTCTTCCTTATTTTCCAATCTCGGAACAAAGTTCGAACTCGAACATTAACAAGCATATGCCGAGAGAATTTTGTTGGGCTGCCGATTACCCAAAATTATCAGCTCCTCAGTTGGACAGGACATGGCGAAGATAACAAAAACAAATCAATGAATCTTTCTTCCACTCACTTTTTCAGCCTTTTAGCTAGTTTGTGTGAGACACTGAATCTCTTTGGCTCCCAATAAAAGGCGATAATGATTTTGCTTTACTCGTAAGTCAGAAAATTAGATCAGAAAGAAAGGTGTGATAGCAAATCAAATATAAAACAACGCTTACCTTCTCTTCTGCCTCAATGTCGTCCCTGAGATTTTGCTTTGCATGTAACTCGTAAGTTTTTAATGCCAGAACTCCGTCGGGGCATGGACTATGCACGTTTTCAGTGAAAAAACGAAACTCTGGTGAGAATATGAAAGCGAAAAATACCAGAGGTTTGGACCAGAGGTAAGCGCGCCTGTGCAAAGTTTTAGAGCTATTTTTGTATGACGTTTAAAAACTGTTTTCACGGCTGATTGTTGCTTTGTCTTGTATACCCACTAGCAATTGAAAGGACCAAAGCAAGCTTGGCGCATTTTCTCGCTAAAAATATCCCTAATATAGAGCCGGACTTGGTACATTGACCTATCAGAATGTTGAGAAGCCGGAGTGACATCAAAAAGAATGGCTGCCCAGTACAAGTCTCGCTTTTTTATGTTTCTTTTCAGTCGCTATGCGATGTGTGTTCGCTATGCCGACCAAAAGTCGTGCGCGTCCCTAAACCAATATACAGCTCACTTGAAGTTCGCTTTTTATTTTTATTTTCTCTCAGAGCTCACATGTAATAGCAAAGTCATACAAATCTGTTTTTCCATTATTTACGCAATGTACTAGAAATAAAACTTACAAAACCAAACTTTATCTCTCCTCAGTTTTTGAAGTGCCTTCATTGATGTATTCAGTTTGTTATCTTAACAATGTTTAACTCTTATGTCATCCAGTTCACAGCTATTCAAATTCCGACAATTCCATTCATCTTGACAATAAAAACGGTATACGCCACTATATATGAGATATCATGTTATTGGTTTACCTGAAGGTAAAATGAAGGTAAAGAAAAACGTTGTTTCAACGGCGCCTACACTCATGATTTCTTGGGTGGGTACGAAATCATTGAAGATGTACTTGTTGTGCTCAGAAATACAGAACATTGCTCTGTTCTCTACATTTGCTAATATCTATATTGGGCTAAATAGCTTGAACGATAAGCCAAAAAAAAAAAAGCATCAAAGACCATGAAAGGAAAAATTCGATAGAAATAATACTCATAATTCAGTTTTGTTGTTTCTGTTTCATGACATTTCTAGTATGGCATCGTTTTACAAACCAGTTATCTTGTCAGATAAATCCACTTATGTTTTAACAGAGTGACTTACAACAAACTGGTCAGTAATAATTAAGACTCGAGGAAATCTAAAAATAAACTGAGGGTCCTCACCTTTCCACAAAAAAATTCTCAGGGAAATTTCGGAACGGGAGCGAACGGTCTAATAATTTACTAAGAAAGTTTCAAGAAAATATCGAATTCCCAAAGTGCGAAACATTCAACCAAAAAGTTTTGAAACAATGGAACAGAAATGTTCCGGGAAGAAATTTTCAAATATTTGGGCATTTCGTTAAGTGGTTGTCCTCAGCTTTCTCGGGAATTTCATTTTCCATACCAGTCCGGTACAGTCAACCAGTTATAATCGGCAAAATGTCCAGAAATCAAAAACGGAAATTCTTCTCGAATGGAGAGTGTCCCAACCCTCTACTAAATTCCCTTTTGGATGGGTAATCTCATTAAAATTCAGGATGTAACGGACAGAGTCCATGCCCAAAACACTGGCTTACAACTTTAAACGTTAACTGACTGAGCTTAGTAGGAATAAAGCGTTGTTAATTTATACAGTCGTCAGCCTTAACCTTCCTTTGCTTGCAACAGTAGAAAGACGTCAACTCTTAATTAAGAAGGAAAAATTGAAACTCTGCTACTTCAACTTCCCAGCAGCTAGGCAAATAACCAAGCAAGCAAATGTTTGTAAGTGGCGACAATGAGCGCCAACTACGTGGCAAACGGAATTATTTCTTTTCTTTTTTTGACCCAAAATAATGACTTTTCTCAGTTGTTTTCTTTGACAAAGATTTTACACTGTTAACGTTCTTGTATTAGTTACAAACTCAAAATCTTTGAGCACACGATTGCCACGTCGATGCTCGTTTTGAAACCGCCTCTGATTAAGAAGAGCTTCTCGAAAAAGAAATTTTTAAAGTATCAAATTGTAGCTGTATTTACGTACCTCTTGCCTATGTTGATAGCTTTTCTTGAATGAGGAATGAAAAAATTGAAGTCAAATGATCGCCACTTCTCATCGTTGAAAATTTACCCTTACATTCGCGGGACATTTCGTGTCAGAGGCACTCGGACTTTTCACAGACGTTGCTCCATGAGAGGAAGGTGGGAAAAACTTGTTCAAATTTGCATAACTGAAGTGCCAGAACAAAAGACCTCGTCAATTCGCATATGCATGTGGCTATTTGTATTTGGATGAAAGTAATGTTTGAAGTTTAGTAATCAATACCTCAAATTTCCTCACAAATTTCGCTATGATTGAGCAGCGCTGAAGCCTTAATTAGAGCATTATCATAGGGCCTCTATAGATATTGTCTGAAGGAGTTGTATTAAATGAAATGGGTTATATTTTTATAACACCCTGACTTTTTCTTCTCCCAATTTGAGCTCTAAATTTAGCCATTTTTTTGCCGCTGAAATGGGTAAAATAAGCCGAAAATTAAAAAATCTTGACAATATTATGTTTGCAGCCAAATTGTTCTTGTAACCATTCAAACTAGGAACGTCTGGTTTCGGATAACGTTAAAGCTGCATGTTTGAATATATGACTGTATTTTAGTTCATTTTTGGGTAATTCTTAAATCATGTGTTGTAAAGGCTTCTTGAAAACTGATGCGATAGTAGTCAAACCATCATGTCACCGAAGAGAAAAATCCGATTGAAATTAGAATATATATATATATATATTTTTTATAAATAGTTACGCTGGACCTACATTTTGACAAACTTTCAAGGTTTTTAATTTAAGTTTTCATTTTGTACCCCCTATGGCGATATTTAAATACAGCTGTTCTTAAAGACAACAGCGATTATTTTCTGATCTCTCAGAATATATAAGATGGTTAGAAATCAAATCATTTATAACACATGAGAATTACGTTAGCTACTGCAAGCGAAATTGTAACATAGATCTGAGTTACTTTAAATGCCTTTCTACTATATAAGCCCATCCAGCAGCTCTTGAAGCCGGAATTCTTGCTCATTAATTAAACTGTCACTATGCCCGGAGGAGAACTCTCATATGAAAAGGTGGGAGACGCTCGTCGGAAAATTTGAATTTCATAACTTGCAAAAAAATAAAGACGAAAAAATTTAATTTCGGACAAACAGTCCGAAATTTTTAAGCGTCCGAAATATTTACCCCTCAGTAGAAAACTTTGAAGTAGCTCCAAAGCGCTTAGTTTCCTTTATACCGAGATTTATGGAGCAAACTCTAGTTGAGTCGACACCATTTGACATACGTAACGGCTTGATAGAATTTGTTTTATTTTCCGCCGTCGGTGTGTTCGTAAAACCTTGAGGGCGCAGTGAAACTAAAGATCTTTTGATGTTGTCCAGACTAAATTGTGTTCAGCCGTAAACTTACTTTAGCTGTGTTTCAACTAAGCGTCCAAAATTATTGTCCAAAATTTGTCCAAAATGAGGTAAAAAGTGTCTGAAAAATAAATGTCCCAAATTTCAACTTCCGAACTTTTTAGCAAGTAATATAAACCCTTAAAATAGACCAATCTGAGCGCGGCTCGAACTTTATTGAACTTCTAAAGATACCACTTAAAATGCAATAGGCTCGATTACCAGGTGCTCGCTGTTCAAGAAGGGAACCTACACTAGCTAAGATCGGACACGGAAGATCGGCGGAAGACTGAAAAAAGAACGTTTTAATTTTTATTATTATTTCTTCGAGTGCACACTAAAAGATGCTTTGACAGGGGTGAGCAAAAAATAGTGGCTTTTCGTCATGATCACCCTGAGTGAATCCAGAATCCTTGATTTATACCTCTAACACCCCCGACCTTTTCATATGGGATCCTCCCCCCCCCCCGCCCGAGAAACTATGTAGCCAAAACTGTCTCACTGATTCCAGTATTAGTGTCATTACGCGAGTTCCCATGATAGTCGAGGCTAAAAGAATATCAAAGTAAAATTAAGAATTAAAAAAAAATAAAACGTTTCGCTCTCTGTGGTTATTTTTGTAGCGAATATCTCCGTAACACACAGTTCACTGCAGAAACCTTCACATCGATCTCTTAAAGACTGTTCCAAGCTACGCGATGCAATTGTGGCTCGGGGGTTATTATCTCCATGCTTTCGCGATCAAAATCAGTACCTTCTTGAATGAAAATACTTAGCAATGGCACTTGCAGAATCGTAGACGCCCTCTCACTGGGTCCTTGGAAACCCACTATATTCACTCTTAGTGAAACTTCATGAGGCTTGTAATATACCCACTATGACTGACGGGACTCTAAAAGGTAGCAAGATCCTAATTTGTGGGCTTGGCTTGAATATTTCTTCACCTCTAAGAGGCCAACTCTGAAATAACACTTTAACTGACGCTTTCCTAATTTGTAATGGCGATAAAGAACATTGCTTCGAATATCTTCTACCTGTAAAAGGTGACTGCCAAAGTTCTCGTGTCATATTTCGTTTTTTTTTTTGCTCAATACCCTTAAAGGTATCGCGAAAGCTCACGCTGTGGACGGTTTGAGGCTAAACACCATACGAGGCACCAAAAACGCTTTTTTTAACCCCTAAAAGATACAATGAGCACCCCCGTCCTTTTTTTAAGGAAGTCCCCCCTGGGGCTACTATGGTACTTCAATACCCAAAGCCCTCTATTCCCAGAAATAAAATGCTAAAAACACTGTTAATAAATGATCTTTCTGTGGCCTCTATGGTAAACTGATTACTGTGATATCTGGTCTTTAGGAAAAATAAAGATAAACTCATGTTTTGCTGTTGTTGCTGTTGTTGTTATTGTTGTTGTTGAATAATACTTTTGTAGGTTAGAAAAAAACCAAAGGGGGCAAAGATAAACCATAATATAGAAGGATTGTTACTTTTGAGGACAACGATCTGAGGAGGTGTACGAACCATAAACGGTTTTTTTGCTCTGGAAGTTAAATAAGGAGTTCTGCATCATTGTTGGAAGATATTCTTCGTTACGTTGCTGTCTTTAAAAATATGCTCAGCCCTCTGCAAAACTGACCCTTTATAGCGTTTCTTCCCCCTTCTCCATTTCCCCTCCTCTAGCTCTTTTGACACATTTCCTGCTGCATCAAATTATACAGCGGAATCCCGTTGATCCGGTCACCAGCGGGCCATGAAAATCTGGCCGTATTAACGGGGTTTGTCGTATTAAAGGGGTTCTTAAAATAAGAATATGACTAATCGAGCTTTAGTTCGTTATAGCGGCCACTTTATTCTGGCCCGAGGTGGCCGTATTATAAACGGGGTGGTCGTAAAACGGGGTTCCACTGACTGTCTACTCAGAATTTGTGAGTAAAATTACATAGACCAACTTGTTCACACAAATGCTAAGCGTTACACAGTGTGTTAATAGGGACTTTAAGATACGCTACGGCGAGGTGCCATTACGGCTACTTTGGCCGTGAGGGACTAGGCTGACATCAGTGTTTTACCCGCCAAACTCGAATGATTAAGATTTGCTGTACGGCAATGGTATGTGCAGTCTCTACGTGTCTTTACAAAAATGACTACTTTTAAGGAAACCAGAGATTATTCTCCTTTCATACGAAATAGGCTTACTTAATGACAATGATTTCCTTCTCCTGTATCCGTCTTACATCTCCCAGAATTCAGATTTGCCTTTTAGAACTTGATAGAACCGCCTGTAATTCCAATTACAAAACAAAATATAAACTCTGATATAAAAAAGCTCGATTTCAACACGGACAGGTTGTTCGTACAACGATTACGTGATAAGCCCGAAAATACAAAACTTTCCATTATAATTAATGAAATACATTTTGAACAGTAATAAACAATTATAGCTCAGATTAGTACA